TGTAAGACTTCAAAGTAATGGTCGCTGGCCAGGCTGTGCCCAGTGTCCAAGAGATGTTTAGCAAAATGGGATTTATCAAGATTGCAATTTCTGTACGCAGCCAAATGATCTTTATAGCGCGTCCCGAAATTGCGACCAGCCTGACCCACGTAAACGGCGTAAATTGCAGTCTCTAACGGCGTTTCAAAAAAATCTCATTAATAATCTTATTAAAAAGAAACAAAAGCATATTGTTCGCAATTCTTTGTACGCGGTTCGATCTCAAAGTGTCCGGCGATATGTGGGTAGTTTGACCTACTTAGGCTCCATATCGGAAAAAATAGCTAATACTCTTAGAAAAAACCGGAATTAACGTGGCATTCAAAACAAACAATTCGCTTAGGAATATTTGTAATAAAAAGATACGTTAAATATTAGTAAAAATCGGGTGTTTATAAATTTGTTTGTGACGAATGCCACGCCGTTTACGTGGGTCAGACTGGTCGCAATTTCGGGACGCGCTATAAAGAGATCAGACCATCGGTCCTTAGAAAACCTTTCCCTTCTATGTCCCTTGCACTCTTCTACTCTTTACAGTAAATCTTTTTCAGTTCTTGGAGTGAAGCTTTGAAATTCCTTACCATCAACTATAAATCGTGCTCAAACAATAGACTCCTTTAAAAACCAAGTTAAAAAAATATTATATATCTTTTCTTCTAAATTCTCCCTCCTCCTTTCATTTCTTCCTGTCGTTTTATGATCACTAGTCTGTCAAATAAGTAAATTGCATGGCATGTACATTAGTTTACTTCTATATTTTAAATTAAAATATTATTTATATTGCACTCTACCCATTAATTAACTTTTCACTTATTTTTATTTCCTATTTAGGTTGTCTGGAAGAAACTGCTGCATAGCAATAAGACCGTCTTTTGTTTTTCTCTTTGTTAATTAATTTCTTGTTATGTTGTATGTTTTCTTAGTGTACAATAAAGGGTATTGCATTGTATATATACACACACATACATATTATAATTTGTTAATATTACAGTGTTAAATGTCACATGCTTTCATAACTTTGTTTTATATTAATGTTTCAATGAATGAACTAAAACTCGTTTTGCGATAGCTGTGCGAACGCTTGGTAATGGCATTTGATACACGTTTTTTTATCAGCTCACAAAAAAAGCTTGACATTGTACTATGAGCACATGTAAGACAAATAGGTGCCGAACTGTAAGTTCTTTACTATCTGTATAGTTTAACTGTTGGATACCTGTATTTCTTGTTAAGCATAACTTTCAGGACCGAATATTGAGCTCTCTCAATCCTCAACACGACTGTTTTGGAAGCGCTTCCCCAGCAAGAAATACGTTAGCAGAGGCTGACTGGCAGAGACGAGCATAATAAATGGTCATTAATGTGCTCAGGGGTGCAGTTTCTCAATCATCTTATGATGTAAATTATGTTACGAATTCTTCCTGCCAGTGCTGATATATGCTCAATGAAGTTAAGGATCGATTTTTTCACAACTACACTAATTCCATTCAGTCGTGCAAAGATGAAATTTTATGTGTTTGTCAGTAGGTGGTGCTGACGAACGGGTCTTATGAAAGCAAATATAATTAGTTTTCTCGACGTTGAGAGTTAACAGGTTTGTGTTCAACCAATGAGCAACCTGTGAAATTCCGCGTTTCGCCACAGAAATGGCATCATCCCATCTTATACCACTGTATAAAAGGACCGTATAATCGGCATAATATATTATATCTGAATGTTTTGAGTTAAACTGATGTATGTCGTTCAAGTATATAATAAAGAGAGTGGGACCGAGAATAGTTCCCTGAGGTACACCATAGTTAATATGCTGCATTTCACTTATATAAGAGTCCACTCTCAAGCACTATCACCGTTACTGCAAATAGCTTTTCCTCCTCTGATTCCTACGTTTTCAAGCTTTTTACATAATAATGTAACGGAAACAGTATCGAAGGCCCTGGCTAAGTCCAGGAATACGCCAATACAGCATTCTTACTGCCAAGACAAAGAGATATATGTGAAATTAAAGTGGTTATAGCGTACTCGATAAATTTTCTTTTCCTAAATGTCTATAAGAAAGTAGATTATGTGCTTCTAAGTAATTCATTACACTCAACCAAATCTAAGAATTACCTTTTGACGGCTGACAGACTTTTTTGACTAGGCATACCAATCAAGAAATCGGTGCATATTTTCAATTCTGAAAAAAAAATCGATATCGCTTCTTTAGTTGGTAGTCATTTACAGTTTTGTTTCGATTTCTACCAGAATAAATTAGAAACAATAAATTAAAAGAAAAAATTTATCAGTTTACTGTTACTGCTTATCTATAGAGATAGATATTAGATAGATCAAAGATATACAAATTTAAGACTGAAAATAGATTAAAAATAAATTTATTCAATCTAATTAACTACAACTAGGTAAGCTGTTGTAGTTAAAATTAATTATTATTTGATTTTCAATAATGTAGGCAAAATTAATATCTTTTTCAAAGTCTTCCATAATAATTTTCTTTGTTTTCTCCACCACTCTTGTCCAATCAACCTTTGTGACATGGGCACATACTTCCTTCAGCAAACCTTCCATCTTCTTCATAATGAAAGTTGGCTTGGTGTTGTGTCGAGCTGCAAGACCTGTTAAAGCATAAGATATTTTCATCTCGTGTGTGTTTAAGGAGAATTAATATGTTTGCATATATAACATTTTATACAAGAACTAGTCTTTGATTTAGGCCCAAATCAATTCAATAGCATTGTATTGGCAGTGGTATGGTAGTAGTATTATAACTTTATGCCCGTGCTCTTCTGCTAATTTATCAATAACGTACAAAAGTTTACGTGGTTTATTTCGCTTTTAGTAAAATTGTATTAGCTCTGCTTTCAATAATTTTATGTCCACTTTCACTCCTCTGTGTTTCAACCAGGTACTAAATCTGTTCTCTTATTCACTTGGGTTAGCGCTTTGTCGATTTAGACAGAATGGTACAGAGCATTGTCCATTATAATTGTGCTTATCGCAGGAATATTTTGTAAAAGGGTTATGAACCACTCTTTGAATTTGTTTTTTTCATTGGCAAGCTAATAAACATTTTCTACAAATCCTCCTCCGGTAAATCCGGCATGGCAAATTATAAAGCGCTCACCTTTTACCGCGGGCATCGTGTCATCTGTCCATATCTGCGGTACAGTGTGGTTGTCGTTTAACCACGTTACATGAACGAGTATGACGTTGTCACAATTGGTTATATTTGTCATGTCTCATAAAAATGTTATTCTTAGCCAGACCATGTAATGCTTCTACATGATTATTTTGCGTTTATCATTTTTTTATCCAAAATCCATGCATTTTAAAATGGTTTCTTCTCAATAAATCTATATTACTATCTACTAAACTTTAAGTTTTCTTGCAACTTTGCCGCAGTAGGGTATTTGCCCCTTGTGAATTAGCCGTAGACATGGTCTTTAACGCATCTGCGTCGATTTTTTATAGGATAGGGTGACAAACTAGCACACAGTCCACCTGATGGTAAATGGTTGCTGCGGCCCATAGACACCTACATCTATCCTCGATTACAAATCAAAATGCAGATGCGTTGTCACCAGTGAGGACTAAGATGGAATGACTCGTTTCCAGTAAAAAGGGTTTCCGGTTCTCTACACTCACCATACCAAACACAGCAGCGTTAAGCTACTATTTTACGCTGGTATTCTGTGAGAGCGTGGTCCTTCCCCGGTCGAGCAGACCCATTCGTGCTACAACTACATACATAAACATAAACACTCACGCCTGTCACCCAGAGGGGTAGGCAGAGACTACAGACTTCCATTTGGCACGATCCTGACACACCTCTCTCGCCTCCTTCACATCCATATACCTACGCATACATGCCCGTCGGTTAAGGGTACTCCTAATTTGGTCCGTTTTCAATAAATCGCCAATTTGGTAGATAAACTTTTTCACTCTTTCCTCATTCATTCCTTCCACATGACCAAACTACCGAAGCATTTCTTTCTTAATCCTGGTCACAACATCATCTTGCAAACCACACTCTTCTCGTGCTACAACTATACTACTAATATAACTGCAGCATGACTCTACCACGTATAAAACTGATCGATACCTGTTACTGGTTTGCATAGATCGCGCCGCGAATCTTCATATTAATTAGCGTTCAGTGCGCATGTACAATTAAGCAGAAAAATGTAAATTGTATTATGACATTTTAATATGTAAAAAGTCAAAGGTCGATATTATAACTATAATTATACACATCAAAGTCTGCACGAAAACGGAACGATATATTTATATATCATCGTTTAATTGCTGCTAAATTATATTCTGTATTTTATGTACACTTAGTTAAAGAAATAAAATATTTTGTATTTGTAATTGCTGTTTTGTTTCAAGACGACATACTCGTACGTGATTTTATTGTTAATAACTTTTAATATATATTTACAATGTATGTAAAAATATATCGGTCGTCATTTTAAATTTCAAAATACACGTATTTTAATGAAGCAATGTGTCAAAATTCACTCGTTTTCTGTTTTAGCGCTGATTATTTTTACAAGAATCTATAAACATTAACAGCTATTGTACAGAAATAAAGATTCATTGCTTCCCTTTAAAAAAAAACTACCATTCAAGGGTCATTCCCGCTGATGTAGTCATAAATAACGACGCTAAAACCAGAGTGATCTAGGGCACAATAGTATGTTTCTGAGAAAATGAAGGAAATGCGTTACGCGTTATTAATGGAAATCTATAGGCTTTTTATTATTATTTTTTTGTTATATGTACTTCTAATGAGTTTTAAATAAAAAAATATCAATTTTTATCAGTATGAGTTATTTATTAAAACTAATATTCGTAGTTTTACAAAAAAAAAATCACTTAGATCACTATGGCAGATCACAAATTTAAAAAAATGAATTAATAGTGTAAGTTTTCACTTTGATGTCGTAAGAAAAATCACATTAATCATCACCAAATACAGCAGGCAAAAAATTTTCATCATCTTGTGCTTCCTGATTGCCACCTCTTCTAGGAACATGTGGTAATGTCAAGTAAAACTGATGATGGATAGGAGGTACGAATTTTAGAGTTTTTCTAATATCTTGCATTTTTTGATACGATATTAGTCTGGTTTCAGGGGCTTTTTCTGGTATATAATTCTTTAGGTCACATAAAAAAGTTTCAGAATCCATATCATTTGGTTTTAAATCAACTGTTTCATATGTTTCAGTGTAGTCATCATTGTAACTGATTATACTTAAACCTTTACAAACCTTTATCTTCCGCATCTTAGAAATTTTTGCGCCTTCTCTTAATACAATCTGATAATCTTTGAATAGTGTTGTGAGGCTTTCATAATCTAGAAACTTATTTTTCATATCTCGCACAGTAAAAGGTTTTTGTTTTCTGCAGTCTCGGACGAGCTTCATCCAATCTTCTGGTGTATAGATATCAGTCTTCTTTTTTAGTTCTCGACTTATAAAAGAGAAGTCGGTATCGTTAGGCAGGTAAGTATGGCCACTGACGAGATAATGCATGGTGATCGTTTCTAGATATGGCGATTTATTAACCAGAAACATCATAAAGTGTAAAACGTCCCAGTTTCTGTTTTGCCCGGAGCAACAGTCGCTAAAAAAACACAGTGTATTGACAGTGTCCGGCACGATATCTTCTAAAAAGTAGTGAAGTGACGACATAATTTCTTGTGAGCCTCTGGCCCCACAATGTTCTGGCCACATTCATGAGAACTTTTTCTCCTTCCTTAGTATAAGCATGAATACCAAAGTTCAGTATTTGCAGTTGTCTTAAATAATAGACCTCACCTGTATTCAAATAAGGAAGAGGCAGGGTTCGTTCCAGATCAAAAGTAGCTGGTAACGGTTCGTCAGTTTTGACTTTACCTTTACAGTCATTTAATATGTTTCTTACTTCGCCTGCAAGTTTAATATGCTGATCTTTTCGTACCCTTATAGCTAGGCATGTTTCTATATCTTCTTCCGTCTTTAGTGCTATCTCGAGCATATCACAGGTTTTACAAGTATCTGCCTTAGGGATATAGAAGTGTAAATTAAACTCGGTTGTAAATACTTTGACGTAGGCACTCTTTTTCAATATTGTTTTTTTTTTCTGACTCACATTTTGCTTTAAAAAGTTCATACATTTTGTTCATTGAAAGATCCGGGCGCAAATATTTTCGTGTTGATCGTCTTTCTCCATAGTGACTCACAAATTTCGGAAAACTATTAATGTGGTCTTTAATCCAGTTCAACTTTTCATCAGACAGCTTGTTAGCAGGTACATGTTGTCCCCTCTTATCTCTTTCCGCTATTCCAGAAACAGATTTTTTATTGAGTAATGCATAATCTAATCTTTTGTTAGACATTTGTATGACCTTTAAAAAGAAACTTTTGCAAACTCTTTTGTCCAACAGCATGAATTGGCGTACATAATTTACATATGTGGCTAGGATTTTGAGCATTTTGTCTTTGCTTACGGCGTTTTGGTTCTAAAGTCTTAATGGCGCTGCACAACCATGTTTTTTGAGCATCCCATGAGGTAAGCTGATAAAACATTACGTGTATTGCTTCTTGATTTTCAGATGAAACCTGCTCACTGCATTTGAACCTACAGCTGCATACAACTGGTGTAAAAACTTTAGCTGGGACAATACTACCTCGTACGTTGCGATATTTTTGGCCTGCAGTTCTTTTTTCGCTTCCTTATATTCTTTGCCCATCTGTCGAAATTCCGAACTCTTTTTCTTCCTCTGACAGGTTCATCGGAATCTGGATGATATATTTCCCCCAAGTTACCTATAGCACCCTCTGGATCTCTTCTTTCTTCATTCAGCATAAGCTGTAATCCAAGCCCAAGCCAGATTCAAACATGAAGCAAAAACGCAACAGACAAGTATTTGCTTATAAAAATAGGTTATATTAAGGAAGTAGTTTATTAGAGTATAGCCTTATAAGTATTTTCGTGCTAATTGATTAAAAGAACATAAGTGTAAGTCAAGCAACAATATTTGAAAAAATATGATTCTGAAATCGAACTGCAAATCACACAATAAAAGTAAAATCTCTCCAGCCCTTTATATTCGACAACAATACATACATTCACTGTCTTCTAATTCTGTGAAAATTTCTACATTTTGCTGTGGATGGTAAGAAGAATGATCACTTGAAAAATCTTCATTTGTTGAAGTCGATGAAGATGGCGGCGGCGAAGATTGCAATGCCATATTCACTATTCTTTTAGCTCTGTTTCTGTTATCCATTGTTTACGTAACAACTACGTAACGTTACAAATAAAATATTTAATAAAACAAAAGATAATCGCAAGCGCATGTGACTAAACCGAAATCAATATGACAAGTAACGTCAATTGATTTTGATTTTGTAGACGTGACTGCGTTTGTGTTGCCAGTTTAAAAATATTCAGTGTTTTTGTAAAAATATCGAACCATATTTATTTGTTTTAAGTATATAAACATAGATATTAAATAAAAATTACGTAAATTATTTGTACACAATTAATTTATTATTTCTTTATTGCACTTATATCAGTTTGGATTTCCATAAACGCCAGCAACTTGCGACCACAGTGATCTAAGTGCGCTCTCATTACTTAGATCATTCTGGCATGTCTCCATTTTGCAAACCGCACCGATTCTATAGTGAGATGTTGTGATTTCTCAAGGAAAAAATACTAGGAAGCACTTAGATCAGTATGACCTGAAAGAATTATGATTTTTCTTTGCAATTGTGTAAAATAACCATTTTTGTCAAAAATGTCACTTAGATCACTCTGGTTCCAGCATCGTCTAAATAACGTTTTTTTGGAAACAATATCTAATGCATCATATGTGTCGATTGACTAGGCCGTTTAGAGCGCCGCGGCGTGCGCGGTCTGGCTGCCTGGGCGGATATAGGGATAATTTGTAAATTATCCCTATATCCGCCCAGGCGGCAGCAATACTTAGCAAAAAAAATTATTACCATATTTAATCGTTGTCACTTAAAGGCATTATTCCAGGTATATCAAATGACGATACCCCAGGATCGACAGGTTCAGATGATCCCAGGATCGGCTTTTCATAACTTGGTCCCGGGATTGATTAATCATCCTGCTGAGTGTCAGTGGAACCACTCGCATCACTGTCCGAATCTTGCTCCACTCGAATAAATATTTTTTTTTATTTTTAAAAATAATATTAAGAATGCTACAAACATTACTAATATTTCCCTTAACCACTCGTGGTAAGCTTAAATTGCTTGTGTTACGAGTGATTCACGCCAGTAGTCGGATGGTGGATTCGAACCCACGACTTTTTTAAGTTCGCGGTTCGGCGCACTTTTAATCTTCCATTCAACGTATTTACTACTAACATAGCCTTTTATTGTAGCCCACGCCATTTCTATGGCATTCAGGTCAGGGTGATATGGTGGCAAACGGCGGACATCGTGACTATGCTCTCCTAATATTTTATCTATGCTGAATTTTCTAAATCTTTCTTTATTCTGTTTAATTAATTTGTATAATTGACGTTTGTAGAGTTCAGGACTAAATGTTTTCTCACCAAGCTGCATTTCTGCTTTTTTGGCATTCGAGTTAGGGGCAGAGTCATATTCTTTATGTGATATGAAGCATTGTCGACTATCACGACTCATCTTGGTGATCGTATTTTACATAATTCATATCGTCGTGGTGGTCTCCGCTGTTTGTACCCGACTTAAATAATAACAATGCGTTTAGTATAAATCCAGACTCAGATCCAGCATGCACACGCGCTGACCTTTTGAAATAGGCTTTTATAAACTTGCGATCGATCCGTCAGACCAAGATTTCGTAGTACCATGCGAGGAATGGACGTACAAAATCCGTATAAATTATAGGTCTATTTTCTTCTCTGTACTTTTTTATTTACTGCAAGTAATTAATTCGCAATAATCTTATTGTAGATTTTCAATTAATACCTTTCGGTTGTTTTCTGATGTTCTCCATCTGAAACCTAAATTCTTCATTTTGCGTCGGAGACTTGTCTCAGAACCGCTGAAGTTTAAATTAGTTTTCAATTTCTCTAGATGCTTTTTGACAGTAGGAATTTCTTTATTGGTAATATGAAAATTATGAATTGTTCTATTAATTACGCTTTGGTCAAAATCTTGTATACCTGTTACGGGAAAAGTCCGGCTTCTTTTTTTCCCAGGTGTTCTAAACACGGTTAACAAATCAGACTGACTTGCTTCCTTTACGATTCTCCAAACAGTAGACACAGAAATTTTGGTAACTCTAGCTACCAGTTTTATTAATTCTATTTTTTTCAGTCCACTGTTTTCGTCCTTCATAACACAATACACGTCAAAAACCATTTTCCGTGCTTGCCTTTCGCAGTGTACGCTTCACAGGGGCCATTCTTGTAGAAAATAACAAAATATTTACAACTTTATACAATGTACTACGAACTACGCTATTTTAAATAATCCAAAAATAATTTACAAAAGAATAAATATATCCACACACTATTTGCAAATAGTACACAACAATATTTTTAAAAGTCCAAAAATAATCGCAAAAATTTCAATATTGTAGTCTCAAACACTTTCAATATCGATAGTACGCAAGACGACACAAGAATGTGCGCGGGCGACGGGACGTAGGGAGACACTACGTGGGGGTAGCGCGTCGCCCGTTGCTATGGTTTCGCTTCCCCGTACCTTATACTGCACCGCACTGATACCGGTTTTACGCTTCTGCACAGTTTCATTATTCGTGGTGGGGCCTATACCTTTTTCGTGTTTTCGGCGTCTGAAGTAAAATATTCTCACTGTCTGAAGGAACTTGCTTTTTTCATGATTCGTATGAGTAATTTAAGATTTTTTTTTAAATAAAAATTAAAATAGACAAATAAAAAAATTTAAGCATACAAAGATTCGATTATTTAAATATTTTACTGATTATTCGCAAAACAATAAATTTTAATCGTCCATACACTACGGTAAGGTACAAAAAGATATATCATTGAAGCTTCGAAGACGAAGAAAAAGCTGAGTGCTTCGCGGACAGCGTTGCCGCTCAATGCTCTCCTAGCTCACAACCCACTGACCCCTTACACATTCAACTAGTGGAGGACGAGGTCCGACGCAGGAACTCGCCCCCCTACCGCCTCTGACCCTATCACTGTGTCCAAAGATGAGATTTCATCTATCATCAAAGGACTTAAGCCCAAAAAAGCACCGGGTGCGGATGGTATCTCCAACCAAGCCCTCAAACACTTCCCGGAGCAGGTAATCGCCTTACTGGCCATTATCTTTAACGCCTGCTTCGAATTCAGTTATTTTCCCACCTCTTGGAAAGAGGCAACTGTCATTGGCATTCCCAAGCCAGGCAAACCTCTCCACCTCCCCTCCAATCACCGTCCCATCAGCCTCCTCAAGGCCATGGGCAAACTTTTCGAACGAGTCATTCTCGTGCGCTTGAGGCGCCATTTGTTTCCCACAGACGGCGACCCTCTTGTCATCCCACAACAATTCGGGTTTAGAGCCAAACACTCGTGCCCCCAACAAGTTCACCGCATAGTGGAATACATCCTCAGCGGTTTTTACCCTCGCCGTCAAAAAACCATCGCGGTCTTCTTTGACATTGCCAAGGCATTCGACAGAGTCTGGCACGAGGGCCTTATCTACAAACTGTACGACTTAGGCCTCCCAGATCGTCTCGTTCGCCTTGTAGCCTCCTATCTGAAGGATCGTACCTTTCGTTTTAGACACGAAGGCACGCTATCCTCTACCCGTCAAATAAAAGCCGGTGTCCCTCAAGGCTCTGTGCTTGCTCCCCTCCTAGCCCTTAGCCCTTTTTGCAGATGACACAGCCCTTTACTCCAAAGGCAACTCACTACCACAGATTCGGAACAAGATCCAAAAGTCAGTAAGCGACTTAGGAGCTTGGTTCCAAAAATGGCGTATCGACGTAAACCCGGAGAAAAGCTCCGCCGTTTGCTTCGAATATAAACGACGCCATCTCACCACCACTCCGCCAATTAGGATGTTAGGAACCCCTGTCCCATGGCAAACTAAAGCCAAATACCTAGGCGTCACCCTTGATGCAAGGCTCACTTTCGAGCCCCATATCAAGAAGGTTACTCGCACCGCACGTTTTTACATGGGTAGGCTCAACAGCATGTTGGGCAGACACAGTAAAATGTCCCTCCGCAACAAGCGAACCCTATATAAGGTCTGCATACGACCTGTCATGACCTACGCGGCCCCCATTTTTGCACACGCTAAACCCAAAGCTATCAATGAACTTCAAATAGTTCAAAATCTATTCTGTCGTAGGGCCACTAACTCGCCCTACTATGTCCGTAATGCCGACCTACATCGAGACTTAGAGCTCCCAACAATCCAGCAGTTCCTCAAATCACTCTCTGAGAGATTTTTCAAAGCCTCAGAGTCCCACCCAAATCATCTCATTCGTGAGACAGCTGCCTATGCAGCCCCTATCCACACTCGCTATAGTGTGCGCAGTCCGAGAAACTCTCTCTCGGACCCCCCCAACAAGCTTTCGGCTGACCTGAACTGCCTCCTGGCGGCTCGGGCCGAGCCTACATAACACATCCATTAATCTGCCTTAGTTAGGCACTTTTCTAAGCGGCTTTACGCCGCTTGCGCCCTCCTTTCTGCCAAGGAGGGTCGCGTTCGTATACGGCTTAGAGATCTCTAGTCAGATCGTTAAGCCAATTACCAAAAGGTTGAGTTTAGTGGGTAAAAGTCTCCACATAACCACGCAGCCGGCTGCGTGGTATGCTATGAGCATTCTCAACCTCCCTCCCCCCGCTTTCCGGAGGGTTGCCCATATTTGCTTCGGGCGCAAAAAAAAAATCATTGAAGCAATTGAAATTTTTTTATAATTTGCTTTTTTTTTAAATATTCAAACTTAAATTGGTGATAAAAAAAATATACATGTTGTATGGTTCCACCACACTTTTTTGTTTAAATAAATAAATAAAATCTTAAGTCGTTTTTAACAATTATCTTAACCTATTAGCTCGCGAGGCCACGTAATATGACACTCCCGTTCGCTCGCGACCGTAATGGCGGGAAAATTTGCAAATTACAGCAAATTTTTTGCTAATTTGCAAATTTTGCTATATTTTCACTTTGAGACAATATTTATGGATAAAACTTACAGGAATTCTTGTTGAATGTATAAACTATTGAATAAAATTATTTTGGTTGCTAGAAATTATAATAAAATTCATAAATTACCCTTTATAGCATAAGTAGTAGTATATACTTCACTTTTCGTGCCAAAATTACTACACTTTTGTTTTTGGAGAAATTTATATGAAAATGTTTGGAAATATGTATATTTTTATGTTTTATGTGTTTCTATTCGTTACTCATACAAAAATATTAAAATATAAAAAAAATTAAAAAAAAAATAATAATAATATTTATCTGTATGACATTTCGAACAATATTTCAAAAATATTTTTGTGTGAATTTGAAATAAATACGACGTGCAAGTTATTTGAAATATGTAAGAAAACTATTTTTACTTACATTTTACACTAAAAATAAAAAAAGTCGTTTATTTCGACCACAAGGATCATAGAATGTCAGTAATAATACAAATCTTAAAACTAATGTTAGTAAATACACGTACGTTTTAGATTGTTGCTGGGGCTCCCACGTTACTGTAGTGCATCAGGTATGTTTGTTGACGCCCACCTAGACAATTTTTCAACACTTATTCGCAAAAGAACTGCGTCACTGATGCACAGGGTTCGTGGGAGCACCAACAGCATTCTTAAAGTAATTAGTGAGAAACCCAAGTGTACTTTTTTGAGGCACTGGGTTCATGTCCATGTACCCATTGCCTCGGACAGGCACCCCAGGTATATGAACTAATTTATTACCTAATTTTACTTACATATATTTAAGACTTTTTCTTTGTATTTTTAACAAAAAGTATTGTATTATATCATTATGGTAAGTTTTGTTGGTGGTTTTGTTAATATATAATTAAATCGGATATGATGTATGTGTAACGGTGAAATTGATTTGTGTTATTTTATTATTATGGGGTATCTATATAGTTTTCTCATCTGGTTGGGTTCTATAAATATATAATTATAAATGAAAATGAAAAAATAAATATACATAAATATCAACAACATAAAATAAATATAAAAATACATAAATAAATAAAAGCCCAATCAGATGGAGGCCCTCGGCAGGGGAGACCAAACGGCCGAGGGTTAGGGGGAAAGGGAAAGAAACCGGCGGACGATGCGGGCGGTATCAAGGAGCACCGCCTTTTGCATTTGAGCCCGGAGCGGTCCGCCACGTAGTCCCAGTCGCCTCAGATGACCCGAGAGGCTGACTGGGATTAGCCCGTTTGCAGAGATGACTACAGGAATAATTTCGGTCGGCAGACCACCCCACATGTCGGTCACCTCGTGAGCCGGGTCCAGACATTTTGTTTGCTTGTCTTTTTCGGCTTTCACGAGGTTCTCGTTATACGGAATGGTAATCTCGACCAAAAATATCCTTGACTGTGCCCGGTCCATCAGCACAATATCAGGCTTATTCGCAAGAATAGTCCTGTCTGTGATGATGGCCCGGTCCCAATAGAGCCTGGCGCGATCATTTTCGTGCACGGCTTCCGGCAAGTACTTGTAATACGGCAATTTCCGATCCACGAGACCGTATTTCAGAGCGAGCTCCTGGTGAAGAATTCTGGCTACTAGGTTGTGCCTGTGCAAGTACTCAGAGTTACAAAAGCGCCGAACAACCGGAGATGACATGCCTAAGTGACTCACCGGGATGGCGACAAGCTCGACAGATGTCCACGGTGCCATCCTTTAGGATGTATCTCCGATAGTTGTTGGTCTTAATAACCTGATCCTGTATTGCACAGACAAAACCCTCGGTTTCCCCGAAGAGATCACCAAAGCGTAGCCAGTGGAGGGAGGCTACTGTGTCTACGAAAGGCTCATGTAGAGCCTTGTAGAACCTCCCGTGGAGCTCCTTCTCCTTCCATACGGTCTCCCGGTCGGAAATTGTCTGCACTGCCGGGTCTTGGCATTGCTCGTTGGCTAAGGATAGAGGGGTAAGTCCTTTATCACTAGAAATGACGTCCTTATAGAATGGATCATCCGATCTCGCCAGGAAGTAATTACGGTGGCTGCACACTTCGCGATTATGCATGGTGAGCGCGCTCAAGAAGCCACGCCCACCATGCTTTCGCGGCAAGTACAGCCTCATTACCGACGATCTCGGATGATGCATCCTGTGGGACGTCATGGTAGTGCGGACTTTCCTATCCAGGGCGTTAAGTGCAGTCTGAGTCCACCTGAGTATGCCAAAGGTATACATGTGGACAGGCATGATCCAGCCGTTATATGCGTGTGTCTTATTCACACCGGACAAAAGGCTGTTAAGCACTTTGGTCAAGCGTGCATAAAACACGTCGCAAACTGACTGTTTCATACCAGCCTCATCGATACCGATGTTCTGTGACATACCCAGGTATCGGTATGTTTCAGCCTCGGAAAGGGTCCTTAAGTTGACGGGCATAGATAAGTCTATGCCCTCAGAGTTAGCAACCCTTCCCCTTTCAACATGGAGGACCGCACACTTATCCGTTCCCAGCTCCATCCCAATAGAATTGCTAAATTCACAAGTGATGTTTAGCAATTCCATAAGATGGGAGCGACTGGAGGCGAATAACTTGAGGTCATCCATGTAGAAAAGGTGGGTCACTTTTGTACCTCCTTTCCGAAGCTGAAATCCCCTCCCGGAGCCCTCCAGTAAAGTACTGAGATGGTTCAGGGAGAGACAAAACCAGTTTGGACTCAGACAATCGCCCTGGAAGATACCCCTTCTTATCCTTATGTGGTTCTCCGCAGCCCTCATCCGCTCGCCCAGATAGCAAAGGATCGTACTCCATTGCCCCATATACTGCTCGAGGAAGTCTCCAACTGTACAGTCAATTTTGTACAGCTGGAGAACTCTCTTTAGCCATGTATGGGGCACCGAGTCGAATGCCTTTCTGTAGTCTATCCAGGCGGCGGAGAAATTCCGACGGTTGCGTTTCACCACTTTGCCAATGACCGCGTCAATGAGGAGTGGTTCCTTGGTTCCACGAATACCGCCCCGGCATCCATTTTGAGCGCGTGACATCACTTGATTTAGCTCCAGGTGACGAGTGATTCTCGCACTCAAAATGGATGTCAGTGTCTTATATATGGTGGGTAGACACGTGATGGGGCGGTATTTGCTCGGGTCTGTGGTATCCTGATCTTTAGGAACCAAATGAGTGATCCCAGTAGTGAAGAGGCTCGGGAGCGACTTATGATCGAGAGCCTCTTGAAACTGTCGGGCGAGCACAGCGTGACACACTACGAACCCCTTCAGCCAGTAATGATGCAGCCCGTCGAGCCCCGGACTTTTCCAGTTCGGGGCCCTACGGACCGCCTCAGCCACGTCTTCAGGCGTTATGGTGACGGGGTCCATAGGCGTAACCCTTGCACTCTGGCTCGCCACAACTTCCATCTGGGCTTTACGGGCTCTGACCACAGGCCACGCCAAAATGCGACAGTGTCAGCCTGATCCGGTCCTGGGCCCGCTCCACATACCTCTGGTCGCTCCAATGATTTATAGAGCCTCTTCTGATCACTCTGGAAGAGACGATTCTGGTTGAACCGCCTTGACCTCTCGCTAAATCGTCGAATCCGCTTCCCCCAAGCAGCGATTTTTTGCTTCAGGTCATCTATGCGCTCCGTTAGTTTTTGCGTGATATCCGGCTGGAACAAACTGATATTTGTCCCAGCAAACGCCATCCTAACGGTGCGCATATTCCTCGGTCTATTATTACCCGACCTGAAGCTTGTCAGTCTGCCGATAAGGGCCCTTGCCTTTGCGATACGGTCCTCAATTCTTTTTCTCCAGGCTGGGATGGCGCTACTTTTTTGAGTAGCACGTCCAGCCACGGGAGTTTGGCGCCAATAATACGGCATACTGCCAGTACGGCGCCAAAAAGAATTGAATCCGTCTCGCAAAGGTCCCGGCTGGCTTCCAAATAGGTCACCAGCATTGGTTTAAGAGCCCGCACGACAGCCCGATTTTGCTTGCTAAGGGGTATGCGGGGAAGTCGCGGTCGATTTTCGAGAGGCATGCTGCGCGTTTCCAGCATCGATTCTTCCAATATGCTCCTCACTTTCTCTAGTTCGTGGGAGACTATTCCATCATCGTCTGAATTAGCCACAAATGGAATGTTGACGGCAGCATCCATATATGCAGTTTGTTGCGCATCTAGTGGCGCCGCATTCCCAGCCGTAGCATTTCCATTCGATGAAGGAATAGCCTCACGTCGTAGTCGCTCGAGTTCGGCGTCACCAAATATGTTGGAGCGCAGGATGTACCTAACTCGGTCTGCCAGGTTTTGCTCAGTGACGGATAGAGATGGCTCCAGCTCTGCAAAAAAGCGATGCATCCGAGCCCGATATGCCAAACATCCAGTTTCTTCCCCTATTGCCCTAAAATACGCCCGCAGTGCGTTTTCATTCATTGATTTAGGCCAACGCATGCGACGTGCTCCACCAGCGGCGGGTGCCGCTTGCTGAGTCCGAGAAGACCCAGCCGACACCAAGCCTTCTGGTGGGGATGATGGATGCGGGGGGCTGCTAGGTGGTCTTGCAACACCCCGCGCTCGGCTGGCGGTTCGCATGCTGTCGCGTCCAGCGCCAGCTCCAGACGCGCCCTGGCGACCTCCAGGCAGCGGCCCTTTGCGCACTATCTTTTTCTCACTACCATCCATAATATGGGCGTCCATTAACGGGAGACGCCCGGGCCCGGCACCGTATCGTGGACGGCCAGAAGCACAAACGGGCCTTTGCACCCTGAATTCTGCCGAGGCACGGCGCTCACACCTCTCGCAAGGCGCTGACTGACTGCGTTGACGTAGCAGTTTTGTCACTTAACTGTTACGTCAGCGGGCGATGGGGTCGTCAATTCCCTACGTCTTTTTATTATTATTATTATAATTATTATTTTATTTTCGATATTATTATAAATACTTACGCATTTGAAATATTTAATATTAGTAATTATTTATAATTTTAATATTAGAATAGATGTTAATGAATGTTATTTTACCCTATGATCTTATTTGATTGAAATAAATTAATAAAAAAAAAGAGCCAGTCCCAAAAAGAGCTCACATTACTCCATATATTAATGAAAATAATATTTTAAAAATGGACGCACGTAGGAAACTCCACTTGGTTTGCTTAGTTCACAAAATTATTAGTAACAAAAGTCCACTGTATTTATACAATAAATTAGATTGGAGTAAGAATGCCCATGAAGTAAATACACGTAAGAGAGTCTCAAACATGCTGAATATTCCATGCCATAAGACTAAAAACTTCAAAGGATGTTTTAAATATTCGGCCGCAAAAAATATGGAATGATTTGCCACCACCCTTAAAAGAAAATTTTAATATTAATTCTTCAACATTTAAAAAAAAGGTTAAAAAGGAGTTATTACACGAACAGAAATCTTTTTAGGCCGAATAACTGTATGTTTATTCTGTAATAAGTATTTTTATCTAACACATATTGACTGTATAGAGGTTTACCAACAATACATAATTAAGTAAGATGTGCGTGCGACCAAAATATACCCAAAACAGCAGGGACTGGCTGAAAAACAGTGCTGAGCATAATGCCCAGCGAATACTGAGCCTGTGCCCGTTGCCTCACATTATAATCGTATACTGAGTAATATTAGTTAATCTGTTAATTGTGAATGTTTTTTTTTTTATTTTATGTCTAATCATTTTTATGTGTATACTTACTTTGTAAACTTTTCATTTGTAAACTTATTATTGTGTGGCAATAAATATTTATTATTATTATTATTATTATTAATATATAAAGAAAATAAAAACCTTAAAACTATTTACCTAATTTTAAAAACTATATCTAAGACAGGCCCGATTAGTCAGCACGTGCACCATATGACAATGGTTCAGGTACTGACAACCAAGCCTGTCAGAAAGTGCCCTCAGGATACCATTGGAACTGGCCCGCACCCTGCGCACCAGGGATGTGCATCGTTTACGCATGGCGGTGTAGAAGCAATCCACACGCGCATCCGCGAACATACCCGACGCACTTCAATAACGAGGCAGACCCAACAGCACCCTGAATGCATTATCGTATTGAACACGCAGGGCATTATACTGTTTCTGCGTGTAGTCAACCCACAGACTCCTCGTGTAAAAGGAAGTGCAGTAAGCTCTAAAGAGCGTTACTCTAACAGGAACTGAACAACGAGCGAACCTGCGAGCGATCATTCGCTCTAACAGACAATGCCCTGCGCTCTCTCTCTCTCTATGTCAGCATCATCTTTCAGGTCAAAGGATACTATATGACCCCGGTACTTAAACTAAGACACCCTTTTTAACGGGGTACCGTATATCTTAATGCTCTCTAAACATATCCGCTATAAGACTATGATCATTAATACCATTAACGCTCACTGGTAGGCCAGGTTTACTATTTAAATTATTGGTCGATTTCCAAAAGTTACGAAAATCATTTTTCGCGTGCTGAGTAGCCAAAATATACATTTTTATTTGATCGCTGTGGTTCTGACACCACTTCAAGCGCGACTTAAATAAACTGCGACTCCTATGCATGTCCTCATAGACACTACCATTTTTTGGGTTTCCCCACCAAACCCACATTAAAAACTTCGACCTGGCCTCCCTGTGGGCATCGCGTACATATCTGTTCCACCCAACCACAGGCCGCTTGCCAAAGCGCGATCTTACAGTGTAGGATTCAGTGGCAGCCACAGATAAAGAATTTACAATTTCGCTATATAATTTATCGATAAGTAATCTGTGATCAATGCACTTACAAACACAATTACTACAAGAACCAAATTCTTCGGGAAAATCGATAGCTCTTAACTTTTCATGACATAATTTCGTATATAATCTGATCTCCTCCGGTTTTCTATCTCCCCATAGAATCTCGTTAGTTATTTAGCAAACGCTGCAAACTGCTGCCAGCGGCGCGTCGCGTGTATCTTATTTTACTTATTTTATTGCAATCTTACAATCGGTAGTACCTCAACAACCGTCCTACTAAACACTAACTACTCAAGGAAAGGTTTGCCACAGTAACAGTATAAGTATTTTACTTTTTTTTTAAGCTTTGGCGATCTTTTCCTTTTGACGTGCTCATCAACTACAACTCTACTTCTTGAAAGTGTATCACAAACTAATAAGAGTACCGTAAGTGTATGGCCCTACAAACCGTACAAATATTGATAATGAAATATTGATTACTTTATAATTATTGAGATTTACGTAAAAGGTTATTTTAAATCATGTGAGTACGCTTGTACAAAGTTATTACGGAATAAATTAATGTGAAACGTCAAAAGGTATTTCTTAGATTTGGTTGAGCATAGTCTTTTATTAACCAATTTCTCAAAGAGTTTAGAAAAAACACTCACTCAAAGAAAACAGTCGATAATTATCTGGAGAGTGTTTTGGTACTTTTTATACATATACAGGATACACCATTGCTGTCTTCCAAACTTCTGGAATTACACCGATAGAAATACTCAAGTTGCATATTACTGTAAGTGGCTCGGTGATAAATTTTTTAATATGCTTAATCAGCGTATTACTTAGTCCATCAATTCCTGGCATTTTGTCACAAAAATTTCAAAAGGAAGGATAGGCCTATCTAAATATTTTACTCATAACTTTTTCATAGAAGAAAAAGTAGCGCATCTGTCATAATACAAACGTCATATCAAAACACGACGTAACCAGGGTCGGATTTCGTAGTATAATTATTCTAATTGTACCATTATTTCATAGTTTGTAGTACATAGTATCGTAATAATACTAAGCGAAAATACCATAATTTTACCTAAAGGTACCTTGTATTATTATTGGGTCCTTTTAAATTATAATATTTTTTTATTAACCCTACGATATCGAGAATTTCTGTATTGTACATGAGTACCACGTTTTTTTTTTAATAAAATTAGAATTAGCTCCCTTTCTCATCAATCGATGATCGATCGATCCTTTTCTTTGTACTTTTTTCCGTTTTACCCTTATTGAATATAAAATATATTAGGTACCAATACTCAAAATTTAACTTATACTAAGTTCTTTAGACAAAAATTAAACAGAAATAAAAATAAAACCGTCAAAAAATGAAACGTATAATTAAACTAAACGCGTGACACCAAAATCCCGGCACATGGGAAAAAAAGAATTCATAATTCTTAACGTCAAACGTGATATAATTTTTTTAAATAGTATAATTTTATTTCCCACGTACAGTATTTTTGAAGTCTGAATCCAGCCCTGGCCTAATCTTGGAAACGTAACTAAACTAACTGTAAAATAAAGCTAAAAATGCGTTTATATAATCATTTAATTGTAACAAAATTAATATAAGGTTATTTTACCGATGATACGATATCCCATGTTTTTTTTATCTTTGTATCGTAATTTTTGCATTCTTTTACCACGCAACTAGACATATTTGTGACAGGCAAATCTGTCCTGCGCGCGCACCACGATTCGCGATTCGCGTTGGCCCTAAACTGTAATTTTAGGGCCAATGCATTGGTCCGTTTTAGTTGTTCGGTCGGCCCGGTCCTTACGCTAGTAATATATAAGTCAATGTTTTGTCATTTTTAATATTCGTTACCAGGTTTTCTATTTCGTATGCCTCCGCAGGTTGCATATAAAACGAGTTTGTCATATTTCCAAATTTACTATTTCGCACTAGACTTTATTCAGTGTTATTGCTTATAATAAGAATTTTCTGTGCAAAATTTTGTCCAAGTGTGGAAAAATAGGTATTACAAATATCTTTTTTGTATTTAATAGCTCAGTTGGTGCTTTGTTTGATGTAGTGATTTTTTTATAGGATATGGTGACAAACGAGCACAGAGTCGACCTGATGGTAAGTGGTTGCTGTGACCCATAGACATCCTACATCTATCCTCGATTACGAACCAAAACGCAGATGCGTTGTCACCCATGAGGACTAAGATGTTGTAAGAAGTTTCCAGTAAAAAGGCTCTCTGGTTCTCTACACTCACCATACGAAACACAGCAGCATTAAACTGCTATTTTACGCTGGTATTCTGTGACAGCACGGTCCTTACCCGGTCGAGCCGACCCATTCGTGCTACAACTATACTACTGTGGCGGCGCTGCAGTTGCGCCGCAAGCGAAACACACCGAAGCCTAAATCACGATATCAAAATTCCGAATCATGAACAGTATACAGTAGAAGTCCGATAATCCGGCACGTTCGGGACCGGCTCGGTGCCGGACTACCGAAAATTCCGGTCTATCGGGCGGTAATTATAAGAACAATTAGGTTAATAATTAAACTACAAATACAGTATGCAAATATGTATGTATGTATACAACAAACTTTATTTTACATTTCATATACATAATGTAACACATACACACGTACTGTAAAACATATTTCACTTAGATTTAAAAAAAGTCACGAATGTCTTTTTGTTTTCTTGACTTTTGGCGTTTAGTATAAAATTAATTCTAATGATATTGAAATCAATAATTTCTGAAGCACTGTAGCTAGTACTAGCCTCAGCAAAAGAGATAAACTTATTTAGTGATTCTGCAGCTTCTGCCCAGCAAATTTTTTACTTTTCTTCCGTTTCGGCATCTGAGTCACTTTCTTCAAGATTTTGAAGACGCTACGCGATTGATTAACGGAGTTAACTAGCCGGCCGCTAACTACGTAATTGTTTCCGAACAATACCGAGCGCTTCCGGATGATCCCGAACTACCCCGAAAACTTCCGAATAGCTCTCGACGTTTTTATTTGCCTTAAAGACACACTTTTGGTGAAAACCGAAAGCCAAAGAGCGATGCCGGACTACCGGGCATTCCGGACTGTTGGATGCCGGACTAATGGACTTCTACTGTATATAGAACATCTCCGAACTATCACACGGAGTGATGGCCGCTCCTCGGGCAGAACACCTCACCCGGCGGGAGATCTCCCCTTTTCCTTCTACGGCTACAGTGATGACCCCGACGTGATTTGAACACGCAACGTTCTGAAACGCCGTCACACTACTAATATAACTGTATTATGGCTCTACCACGTATATGATGTTGCATATATCCTATCCTTTCTTTATTGCTTTACATAATTTCTTTGGCTGTCCCTGGCTTTCTTGGAATTGACACTTTTCATATTCCCTTTAAGTTAAATAGATCATTGCAGGAATCGCGGTATCTCTTGTATGTGAGGAGTAAAGTTTCATCATTTGTATTCTTCCTTGATTGCGTATGTTGTTTATCTTTGTGTTTTATATAACGTATTAAACCTGGAGTAATCCAAGGTATTATATTGTATTTAGAACGACTAACAATTATGCGTTTGGTGTGTTTATCTATTATTTTCGATAGGTTATCAGTAAATATAACAACTCCCTCATTTACATTTTTTTTTGTAATTACAAAATAAAACATGTTTTATTTTGTAATTCCGACCAATCTATTACCGCTAATTCATTACTTATCGCATCAAAATCAACCCTAACTTTTTTCCTTAATCGGGGTTCAGGTAAGCTTCTATTCACTGATAGGCCAGCTATTGTCATACTGTGATCTGTTATACTTATATCTGAAATGCATACAGTACCAATTGTTTTCCGACCGTTTTAACAAATATATGATCAATACACGAAGCAAATTTTGTAGGTTTAGAAACAGCAGGCAGTAGTCCGTATTCTCTCGCAAGAGAGACATAATTTACAGTATCATTGTCCTCTTTTAAAATATTAATATCTCCTGTCAATACTAAATGAGGTTTATTTTTGTGGTGATCCAAATGCGATTTCAGATCTATTAGGAAACTATTCGTGCTTCTAAACGAAGTTGAGCGATACATATAGAAAATGTTTATTGTATCGGGTATTTCTATTATTAATGTTACGAGCTAAGCGTTCGTGACAATAAAAACTGTCGATTGAATTATCAAAATTGACACTTTAATTACTGAACACCAATTAAAACTTAAATCACACTAATAATTATTCAAACTGATCACTTTAGTAACACTTTATTTCGCTTCGAAGCTTCGCTTGTATTGCCATTCAATACTGTCCCGGTCACGGCCCTCAACGTCTTTAAATAGGCCTTTTCCACCGAAACATCCAGAATATTCTAGCAAATACCAGTCCGACCGACCACGTGCAAAAAGTTCGAGTGTGGTACTTTCCAGAAAGCTTAGTTCTTTTATTCGATACTAGATGGCACTAATGAGAGAGTTCTAGAAAGAAAGAAAGATGGAGCTAGTGCCATCAACTGTGACGCGCAACATTAAGGTGAAACCTACGGTCTGCTCCCAGCCATTCTCCCGCATGAAGGCGCTGAAGTCAACATTTTTAGTTTATTTCGGTTTTTGTATAATAGGAAAATTATTAAGTCGTAGGAATAGACTTTGCGGTTATCGGATATCACATTTTATTGGAATGGCTCATACCATTACCTCAAAACCCACCCAATTCGACACAGTTTGATTATAACATCTGTCATTAAATATAGTGTCTTTTACACACACAGACGTATCCCTACGTTTACGAAGCTAGAACACTAGATGGCGTGTATGTAAAAAAAAAACAAGTTTTTAATTTTTCTGTATCTGTAGATTGGGTAGGCAGAACTACAAAACGCTATATTCGCTTGTTATAAAAATAAAAGTTATATTTGTTGGCGCAAACTATTTAATTCATTTATAACTTTGGCAAATAAATTATTTCAACATTGATTACAATATAACGCAGTTTTATTTTATTACATTACACTATTGAATTTTTTATCAAAACAGAAGTACCTATTTGAAGCAACATAATTATGCTGATACATTCCTATTCACTCAAAACTAATAACACTGATGATTTCTAACAGTACCAATATTACAATAATTAGACATTTCATAACTAACACGTAAGAAACTATAATTCATAAACAAGAGATAACAACAAATCTATAACACGATTTATTTGTGATAATAACCAGGAAGTTTGAAAATAATATTCCCTATTTTCGAAGCACTCAACAAAAGCTTTTAGTAAAACAAAAATATAAATCCTTTACCTACGAGCAATTGTATATATAGTGTGTAAGTGTAAACACCGTAAAAAAAATTAAATAGTTTCTCTATTTTCGCTATTTTTTTCATAAAATTAAAATAGTTTCTCTCCGACACCGTCCGTAAAAAATTCATGGATACCCTATGCGCCCAAGTGACGTAATCACTGTAAAGATCACCGCCCGCCTTTGCTACCTACACAACATTTCAATAAAAACACAATGGTACACATAACCTATGATGTAACTTTTCCTTCATACTTTCATACTGGCTTAGGACAGTCCAAAATTCCTACCCTTTGTGTTGCGTGACGAGTCCAAATTAATGTAAGTTAGATTTAACAACAAAGAAAATTAAACATTAATAATAGTAAATCATTAGGATTTTTTGGCGTATTTAAAAGGTTAGAGCCTTACGGAGAAGAGAATTTAGTACAATCTGGAATGGAAGAAGACCAATTTAGGAGGGAAAAAAGGGATAGGGGGGGAGAATTTTTTCGGGGATGATGATGATAATGAAGGATGGAATTTAGTCAAAAGCAAAGAGAAAAGATTAAAACCACAACTGAAGGAGGATATTGAGATGTATTTATCTAGCAATGAAAAGTTGCCCAAACAATTTGCATTAGCTAAGATGCTGAAGGCTTGTGGGATAGTTGATATCACCAGAATAAAATACATTAACCCTTTCAAGATTCGCGTCGAAGTCTGCAGCGAGTTAAGTGCCGATAAAATTGAAAAATGTCAGGAATTCAAGGATAAAGGTTGGAAGGTATACACGGCTATGGAAAGGACTTCATCTTATGGCGTCATTAAAGACGTTGACCTTGATTTATCTGACGAGGAAATTTTAAGAAATATAATGTGTGATAAACCCGCAGAATTAATATCTGTATATCAGCTTAAACGTCGGGACAGAGAGGGAGAAGGTTGGCAGCCAAGTGGAGCGGTACAAGTGCGCTTTAAAGGTTCATTTATTCCACAGTACATATAAGTTCATGGATTACGTATAAAAGTTACTCCTAATGTATTTCCCGTATTGCAATGCTCGAAATGCTGGAAATATGGTCACCCTACAAAGAAATGCCCTTCCAGTAAAATAGTCTGTCCGAAATGCGGTGGTAGTCATCAGAACTGTGAAACACAGAATTTCCAATGTGTTAACTGTGGTGGAAACCATATGGCCTTGCATAAAGCTTCATGTCCAGCCTTTTTAAAGGAGAAGAGGTTGAGAGAAATCATGGTAGAATTTAACTGTACTTATAGGAAAGCCTTAACAGTATATGTACCGCCCTCAGCTTCCTTGCTTAGAAAAGATAGCTTTCGACAACAGTCTGACAACCCTCCTACCAACATGATCTCACAAACGGAGAGTAGATTCCAAGAACGTGATACCTCCACATTCGCAGAGATAGTTAAAACCGACATCTCATTGCATAAAGAGGATGTAAATGAGGTTAAAAATACTTCTGCCAATACTTCAATGAGATTTCGACGTACTCGTAGGAGGTACACGACTTCTTGTAGGTTGGAGCTCCCGACAAACTCATCTACAATTAATAGTGAGTCAACAGTGCCTCCTGATGCGGCTGCTGGTGAAGAGAAAAGGAATGACGGTGTTCGTTTTGACGAGCTATTAGTGAGACTTAAAGAAATTATATTTTTAAGGGAATTGACGATGGAAGACAAGCTACATATGGTGTTAAAGTGTTGTTTAGAGTGGTTAATCTTATTGAGTGTACAATTCGTGTCAAAGTGGCCTTTATGTAAGATTATTGCTGACTATTTTATCAATGTCTCGTAGTCAGAAATCTGTTAGGTTAAATATTTCACAATGGAATTGTCAAAGTATTCGACCGAAATTAATACCCTTAGAGCAATCTCTGAGTCAACTGAAAATTCACATTGCTGCACTCAGCGAAACGTGGTTGGAACGAGATAGTCAGCTGAAGGTAAATGGTTACACGATATATCGTAAGGATAGGGATGACGGTTATGGTGGTTTTGGTCCACAGGTCTCTTAAGTCAAGTTATGTGTCGTTCGAAAGCTGTAACCCAGGGATTGAGATAATTTGTGTTAAGATTTGCAACTGTGAGCATGTTCAGTATATATTATCCTTATATTGTGCTCCGTCAGTTCACACGAGCCAAAGTGATTGGGAACAAATTTTTTCTCGTTTTAACAATAAGGTAGTTATTCTAGGCGATTTTAATGGACATCACACAAATTGGTCTCATAAATTAGATGAAAGAGGTACCCAGATTTATGACGCACTTTTAGATACTGATCTCGTAACATTGAATGATGGCAACCCTACTCGCATTAAATTAGTGAATAATACGTACAACAATCTGCGCCAGACATATCGCTGGCTTCCTCAGATATAGCGTGTAAATTTAATTGGGGCACACTTAATGAAACATTTGGCAGCGATCATCTAGTGATTAAAATTTCAATGCAGATAGATAGTCTACCCATACCCACGATACGCAGGAATTATAAAAAGGCCGATTGGTCTAGGTACCGCAACTTAATAGAAACTCTTATGCAAGGTTTTATTATCACGGAAGACTCACAAAAAACGTATGATTCATTTATCCAGTTGATTAAATATAGCTGCAGACATTCACATTCCATATATTAAAATTAATTCTGACCTCGAGAAAAATTTCACTCCCAAACCTTACTGGAATAGTTCCTTATCAAAGTTGGTAGCCGAAAGACGGTTAGCGTTATCAACATTTCGACGTAACTCCACGCCCTTTATTTTACAAGTCGCAGAAGAAAATTAGGGAATGCCAGAGAAGTCTTCGTATAGCAAAAAAGTAAGAGTTTTCAAGACTTCTGCACTTCATTAGACGGGACAACATCTCATACTGTTTTATGGAAGAAAATGAAATGGTTTAAGGGATGCTATGCACCGCAATCTGGTATTAGTAAAGAGAAGGCGCTTGGATTAGTACAAAGCCTGGCAACGGATTTCGTTTGTACTGAGGATCCGACATTTAATTCAAATAACCCTAAGATTGAGACACAGCATTGGACAATAGCTTGCGCACTAAAGACACTTCTCCTGGTAGTGATAACATTTCCTATTCAATGCTATATAATTTGCCGGATAATGCGAAATTGATTTTAGTCAGGCTTTATAATATTTAGAAACGGGTTTTGTTCCCCAGCAGTGGCGTAATATCACCATACAAAAAAAAGAAAAAAAAAAATTAATTTTTTTTATTATTATTTTTTTTTTTTTTTATAAAAAAAAAAAAAAAAAAAAAAAATACCTATACCAAAGCCCGGCCGAGATCCTCAATCTGACTCTTCTTGGCGACCTATATCTATGATTTCCTGTGTATGTAAAATACTACATAATATATTGATTAAAAGAGTAGAATGGTATGTTAAACATAACAACATGTTATCGTCCGATATTATAGGTTTTCACAAAGGGCGCTCCATTTTAGATAATTTATCCACCTTTGTGTCAAGAGTCCAACTAGGATTTTCGAAGAAACAATCAACGATTGCTCTCTTTGTTGACACTGACAGTGCATACAACAATGTAAATTTAGAACGTTTATTAGATATTTTAGATACTATAGGGATAGGTTATAAAATATGTACATACCTACGAAATTTTTTAAAAGAGAGAAACCTAAGTATTGAGACAGATGATAACTCAGTAATAAGAAGGAAATGTTGTTTAGGTTTAGCTCAAGGCGATCCATTTTCCCCGCTTTTATTTAATATCTTAACAATGGAGATTTGCAAGTCAATAAATAATGTATTTATATCACAGTACGCAGATGATTTCGTTCTATATGTCACCTGTAGTAATATAGAAGAAGATAGAAACCAATTACAATTAGCTTTAAATCAATTTGTTAGTTTTCTTTCTCTTACTGGGTTAGAAATTTCAGCTCTCAAAAGTAAAATTTGTATTTTCCAAAATAAATTTGTACGGGACCCTGTGTCTATATCTGTTAGTGGCATTTCTTTAGAAGTAGTTGATTGTGTGAAATACATATTTAGGTATTTGGTTAGACAGGAAGTTACGATGGTCTAAACAAATAAATGAACTAAAAGAAAATCCTCAAAAATGCTTAATGTTTTCAAAATCTTAGCGGGGACAGGTAGGGGCATTCAATCATCATTTCATCCAACTCATTTAAGGCGTATATACATATCGTGTATTCGTAGCAGATTAGATTACGCAAGTTTCCTTTATGGTAGTAGTTGCAAGACACACACAAGCAAGCTACATAAAGTTCAGAATCAGTGTATGCGGGTAATCGGTGGCTTTATTAAAACAACACCTATACACGTCATGGAGTGCGAACTACACCTACCGCCTTTAAATGTACGAAGACATTATCTAGCCGGAAAGTATTGGTTAAAGGCGAAATCCTTTTCTAACCACAAGATTATTCCCATTTTGGACGACCTGATTCTTTTAAGTCAAAATTCTTATTGGAGTTGCAAAGAAAAGCCCCTTTTAATTTTAGTTCACAGTTACCTTAAAGATACTGCTGTACATATTAGTACACAATTAGATATGTTTACACTTGATACCTGGGTCAGCAATGTGAATATTTCGAATATAATTAAGTTTAACATAGATGCCGTAAGTAACGCTAAAAGAAGTTATAATTCTTTGACATTACAACAACTGTGTAACAGTTTTATTAAAAATACGTATTCAAGTTATTGCAAAATTTATACGTACGGTTCAAAGGAAAGTAATTGTGGCGGTCTAGCTATTTATGACCCGCAAGTGGGTAGTTCAGTGAAACTACGTATTGATTTAAATGTCTCCATAATGTTGTTAGAATTGATAGCAATATCAGAAGCAATTTCTTATGTTCAATCCTTTCAATTGGGCAAATACATCGTTTTAACGGATTCCAAGAGTGCATTACAACACATTGCTCGATGCACCTCGAATAGTCGAGGCGCACCGATAGCATACACTATCTTGGAGTCACTTTTCTGTTTAGCCACAAAAAATTACACAATAGTTTTACAATGGATACCTTCACACGTAGGCCTGACAGGAAATGAAGAGGCAGACTATCTCGCTAGACAGGCCTTGTCTGAGGGTATCCCTTCAGTTTGTTTGCCGTATTATACCGACCTTTTTTATATGATTAAAAATAAATGTAGAAACATGTGGAAAGAATATTTTGATAAGCGATCTCGAGTAAAAGGCATATGGTATAAAACAATCCAAAATAATTTGTCCCGTTATCCATGGTTTATTAATTCCAATTTGTCGAGACACACCATTGTAACTGCTATGAGACATATCCCACTGAATACTTTTGCTTACCTAATGGGCAAAGCTAATTCCATGAATTGCACTGACTGTGATCTCATTGAAGATGTTTTTCATATTTTAGTGGAATGTGCCCGGAACGAAGCTGAGAGGATATCCTTCGGGCTTGCTTACGGCATTAGCTTGCATGACATTGGTCTTTGAAATAGTAGGTATTCTTGCTACTCCCTTATCAGAGAAAGCGAGATTCTTATACATAATGGCTGATTGTGCTTTAAAACGTAGATAAGAATATTAAATTGTGTATTTTTTAATTATCATGTCGGTAACTATGGGGATGGCATGATCATGCTTGATCAAATCCTCTATTTCTCAATAAAGATTTAAAAAAAAAAGTTCATTTCTTAGTTCTTCTCGCAAAAAACGTCCGTAGTTTTCACCGCTCATTGTGTTGTCTAGGAAATATGGACCAATAATTTTGTCACCTATAATTCCCGCCCACACATTGATTTTCCATCGGTGTTGAAAGTGGTTTGGTTTATAGGAATGCGGATACGTGTTCATTATGAGCGTTAAATAACCTGTTCTAACAAAAGAGCATTCATCCGTAAAAAGTCCGCGGTTCAAAAACTCAGGATCTCCTTCAACCTTATCAAGTAACCATCTACAGTAATCCATTCTCGGCTCGTAGTCGTTGGAAGAAGACACTGAACTCGACGATAATGATACGGGTGCTGGCCATCATCTTTGAGGGCTCTCCAAACGCGCGTATGGTTCACACCTAGTTCACGTGCCTGCCACCGAGCGCGTGCTCCGCGTCGCACCTTCCTCAAACATGTCGAGAATGTGCTCCTCGATGTCGTCGTCGTACATCCTCGGTCTTCCTGAATCTGTACGTTGTTGATCACGGCCATGCACACTGCCAGTATTGTACATACGAATGTGAAGTCGTTGGTACGTCGTCGCCGACGGCAATTGTATATTTTCGTGGAGTAGCAAAGCACGCCCCGTAAAGTCTTCGTGCTGCTGCATAATTGCAGTTACATTTCCCGAGGCACATCAACATATTAAAATATTCTTCGTTTGAGTAAGACATCGCAAACAAGTCACTCACGGCGGAATATTAATTTCGCAATATAAAACACAACCGTCAATATCAGTGCTAACGCGCTACTGGTGCTTGATGCTTGTTTGGCTTTGCATAGACATGGCAAAGCTATTGTACTCTATAACATAATTTTGATATTTTCTAAATCGATAAAAATTTCGTGATTTTTTATGTAATTTTTTAATAATATTTATTATTTATTTATATACTTCAGACAGCGTCCGTAAGTGTTATTAAGAAATTAAATTGTAGCTAGGATTAGTAAAATATATTAAAACACTTTTATAACAGGAAACATTTAAAAATTGTGTTATAAATTCACACAATAACAAATACTTAAACTATTATGCTGCTGTGTTTTTCAAAATCTAATAATTAACATTTTTAACGACCGACGATTAACAATACTTATTTATATTT